AGCTACCTGGTCAGATTGAAGCAGCTTGCGAAGAGGGCCGCCAGCTGGGCATCAGGGACTTCAAGAAGTCTGAGGATTTCATGAAGGACCTGACCATTCTTAACGGGCCGATCCTGCAGGTTGGGTACACCCAGGCCATGCACGATGTGCAATCTCTGAACTTGCCTGGGTTTGACCTGAGCAGATGGCCTGACAACAACCCCCAAGCAGTTCATCAAATTGATAGGCTCGTGGAGGGCTATACGCATGGACGCGACCTGGCCGCGCTGGTCACGGACCCCTCTCTGCCTGCAACCTCCCCCGAGCCTGAGCAAGAGCAGCAGGGGAAAATTAGAAAGGGCGTAGCGCAGGAATAGATAAGAATTAGAACAGGGTAGGAACCGAGCTGGCCAACTCGTTTTTGTATAGCCCCCCTCTTGTATATCTTTTTGAATTGAATAGACAATTTTCTTGTTCAATACTTAGCCAAAAATTCTTTATTTCTTCATAGAATCTTGAATACATTCTCACAAGCCCAAGTATCGATCTAACAAATTGCCGAGCTGACCTCCTCAGCTGTTATCACGTAAAAAACTTCCTAGCTCTCCCCTTTTCAGCTCGGGCAGATCTCTAACGAAAGAGTCTTAAATTCAAATTGTGCCAAGTGCGCGGACTTCATCCCCATTGGAATGAGTTAGCTTACAGTACCCCACCCCGATCAGCTTCTTTCACCACGTAGGGACCCTCCTAATTTGGGTCCAGCTTGCTCGTGCCCCCAACTCGGCTCACGGAGTTTCTGCGCAATACCAGATCCCTTGGTTTGAAGGAGAGGTGCCTGACCCTAACGTTGTAATACCGTACGACCTGACCCTTGCACTTAGCCATTCTTATGCACGCTTCTTCCCTACGGTGCTCGAGCAGGTCTAGATTGAGCCGCATCTCCTCCTCGTTGTTCTGGGCCACAAAATGCTGCACCCTACCTGAGGGTACTCCAATTTTTGCTGGGATTACTGCTTCAACCCCATATGTCAAGACAAACGGGGTTTCTTGGGTGACCGTTTGAGGTGTAGTTCGGTAAGCCCACAGTATGGTAGACAGCTCATCTAGCCACCCTATATGGGCAGGCTCTATTCGTGTCTTCAAGCCGTGCAGGATGGTTCTGTTGGCATTCTCGACCTGTCCATTAGCTTGTGGGTGCCCCACGGAGGTGAAGTGCTGCTGGATGCCGAGCTCAGAGCACCATTCCTGGAGGGAACTGTCCGCGAACGGATGGCCATTATCCGAGACTAGGACCCAGGGTATGCCAAATCGGCAGACTATGCTTTTCCAGAGGAACTTCTGGATCGACCTGCTATTGATCGTGCCGAGTGGCTCGGCCTCTATCCATTTGATAAAGTGATAAAGTAGTCAATCGCCACTACCAGATGCTCATAACCTCCTGGAGCTCGGGTGAATGGGTCTAGCAGGTCAATTCCCCATTGGAAGAACGGTCACAGGTTATGGAGAGGAATTATCTCCTGAGTTGGGGCATGGTCAATTGGAGCGTGCAATTGGGAAGACTTACATCTTGCCACAAGTTCGGCCAAGTCCCGGAAGACGGGCCAATAGTATCCAGATAACATTCCCTCTTGGCCAGTACCCTTGGTCCGACGTGATTGCCACAGATGCCCTCATACAGCTCGCGCAAGACATAGCTCCCTTCCTCCGGTGTTACGCACCTCAGTCATGACTGCAAGTAGGACTTCCTATATAGTACTCCTTCCGTAAGCACGTACTTCTGTGACTTGAGAAGGATTTTTCGGGCCTCTGTCCTGCTCGGGGAGCTCTCCCTGAGCTAGGTACAGGACAATGGGGTCCATCCAAGAGCTTACCACCTGAATGACTGTGGCGTCTAACTGTTCATACGCCTGACTTTTAACGACCTCCACTAATATCTCTCGATTTAGGGTGCTAAACAAGGTAGAGGCCAGCTTGGATAAGGCATCAGCTCTCTTATTTTGGCTCCGTGGGATCTGTTCGAGGATGAACTACTCGAACTGGTCCCTCAGCTCATGCGTCTTGGCGACGTACTTCCTCAGAGGCTCTTCTTTGACCTCGTAGCTTCCCCATACTTGGTTCACTATCAGCTGTGAATCACTGTAGACTTTTATTGATTCAGCCCCTAATTTTCGAGCCATGTCCATCCCCGCAATCAGAGCCTCATACTCAGATTCATTATTAGAGGCTCTAAAATTGAACCTAAGGGCGTAGGCCAGCTCTTCCCCAATAGGGCTGATTAGGAGGAGACCTGCTCCATATCCTTCCTTACTTGATGCGTCGTCTACGTACAGCGTCCAGACCGGATCTGTTCGTCCTGCAGCCTCTATAGTCTTTCTGGTCTGGGCAGCCTCTCTGGCCAGTTCGGCCTTGACTGCTCCCCCAGAATGCGTGACCTTGGCAGCCTCTCCGGCCAGTCCTACCTTAGCTACCTCTTTGGCCTCTCTGACCTCGGCAGCTTCTTGAGCCTGTTCGGTCTCAGCTGCTTCCCTGGCCTGTTCGACCTCGACAGCTTCTCTGGCCTATCCGGCCTCAGCTATTTCTCCGACCTGTTCGACCTCTGCTACCTTATTGGTCTGGGCAACCTCGGCAGTGTCTTCAGCCTGCAAGACCTCGACTGTCTCTTGGGTCTGTGTGACCTTGGTAGGTTCTTGGGCCTGTAGGGCTTCGGCTGCTCGTCTGGCGCATGCGTCCTTAGCAATTTCTTTGTCCTCCCCGACTTTTCCTGCTTCTCTGGTCTAGTCGACCTTAGTTTCGGATGATCCAAAAGAAATGCCTTCTACTATGAAGTCTGCCAGGGCTTGGGCTTTGATGGCTGTCCTTGACTGGTATCCAAGATCATACTCCGACAGCTCTACAGCCCACTTCACCATTCGTCCCGAGACATTAGGCTTAGAGAGGATCTACTTTAGGGGTTGATCCGTCACCACTACTATGGGGTGAGCTTGGAAGTATGACCTGACTTTCCGAACTGTATGAACTAATGTCAGGACATATCGTTCTACCGCCGAATACCTCGCTTCGGCCCCCTATAGGGCGCGACTAACTTAGTATACGGGCTTCTGGACCTTGTCTTCCTCTCGTACTAGCACAACGCTAACAGCTTCCTGCCCCACAGCTAGGTAGATGAATAGGGTTTCACCCTATTCAGGAGATATTAAGGCTGGCAGCAGAGCAAGGTGGGCCTTTAGCTCGTCGAACGCTTTCTAGCACTCTGAGTTCCACTCGAATTACGGACCTCTTCTCAAGGTCTTGAAGAAAGAGGAGCCCCAAACTGCTGATTTGGACAAGAACCTGTTCAGAGCTACCATCCTTCAGCCAGGCGCTGTACCTCCTTAATATTTCTGGGCAGAGCCATGTCCATGATGACCTTGATTTTGTCCGGGTTAGCTCTTACTCCTTTGGAAATCATGTAGCCTAGAAATTTTTCCGACCTGACCCTAAAGGTGCATTTCTTGGGATTTAGCCGCATCCGTGAGTTTCGAAGGACATTGAAGATTTTCCTGAGATCAGCAATGAACTGCTCCTAATTCCGGCTCTTTACTAGCATGTCATGCACTTAGATCTCCATATTTCGACCGATCTGGTCCTTAAATAGTCTATTGACCAGCTTTTGGTAGGTCGCGCCTGCATTCTTCAGCCCAAACAGCATGGTGACGTAGCAATAAGTGCTGTTCTCGGTGATAAAGGAGGTCTTCTCCTGATCCTCCTCATCCAGGGCTATTTGGTGATACTCTTTGAAAGCGTCCAAAAAGCATCCCGAGGTGGAATCCACGAGCTGGTCTATTCGTGGAAGGGGGTAGCAGTCCCTTGGACAAGCCTTGTTCAGGTCAGTGAAATCCACGCAAATCCTCCAAACTCGTTCTTCCTTCTTGACCAACACTGGGTTAGCCAGCCAGGTCGGGTAATGGTGCTCTTTCACGATCTTAGTCTCCAACAGCTTGCATGCCTCACTTTTGATGACTTCGTTTCGCTCTGGCGCAAAGTTTTTCTTTTTCTGTTTCACAGGTCGGGCGTTGGGGTCCACGTGCAGCTTGTGAACCGCTAGTTCGGTGGGATCCCTGGCATGTCATCAGCACTCCAAGCAAAGATCTCCGCGTATTCCTCTAAAAGGGATTCTAACTTGTTCCGGGTCAGCTCGCTTAGGCAGGTGCCAACCTTGACCGTTCGCTCAGGTCGCTCCGGGCGGACCGGCAGCTCGGCTAGCCCTTCATCCGTCTCCAGTCTCTCTCATTTCTCTATAGGCTCCCAGGGCTCCAAACAAGCTGTTTGAGCCACCAATTTCTCCTTACCCTTGAGAGTTGCAATGTAATAGGCTCTAGCTACCTCTGGATCCCGAGCATTTCAGCTACCCTAGCAGGGATAGGGAATTTCATGCTGAAGTGCAAGGTGGAGCAGACAGCCTGGAGGGCGTTCAGGGTGGGCCGTCCCAGAATCATATTGTACGATGAAGGCTCTCTTACCACTGCAAAATTCACTGGCACAGTTTGGCACTTTGGTGACACCCCCACCGTAAGCATGAGAGTTATCATTCCCTCCAACCTCACCGAAGGACCAACAAAACCGATCAATGGGGTTCGGACCGGGATGAGCTGTCTGTCCTCCTGCTGCAGCTCTTTAAAGGTCTTGTAGTACAGCACATCGATGGCACTGCCATTGTCAATGTATACCTTCTTCACCTTATAGTTACAGGTGATGACCTCTATCACGATGGTTTCGTAGTTATTAGAAGCCAGAGGGACTGCATCTTCAGGTCCATAAATGATTTTCTCGTACATTTTTAATCATTTGCTCGAACTCTCTCCACTGGGAGGAGGGCGGTTGTGCTGCCGAACTGTATGGTTATCCCCTTCAACCGGTCCTCCTGTAATAGTATTGACCACCCCGGCCAGATTCTGAGCTTCCTGCTTGGGAGTTCGACCACAGGGCCTCTGAGGTCGGTCACGGGAATAGCTCAGGTACTCTGGTTTGGGCCTCCCTCGCCGTTAGTCAGTTCGTTCATCACGTATGAACTGTCCGATGTGGCATCGTCTGATCAGTTTTTCGATGTCTTTCTTGAGGTGACGACAATCATCCGTATCGTGTCCCACATCTCGGTGGTACGTACAGTACAAACCCTGGTCCCGTCTGCTCTTGTCCCCGGCCAAGGGTCGGGGAGGTCGGGAGAGCCCCTCTTGTTCCATTACAGCAAGGACCCGAGCTCGAGGTGCGGTGAGGGCAGTCCATGACTTGTCTCCTCCCAGGGGCCGACTCCTAGGCAGGCGGTCATAGGCATTCTTCTGCCCCTGGCCGGGCCGCGCGTCTATCTGGTCAGTGCTTCTTCTGCGCTTATCGTCCCTTAATCTCTCCTGCGCGCTCTTTAGACGATTGGCCTCCTCAGCGTTGGCCTTCTCGTGAGCTCGGTCCAACATCTCCCAAACTGACTTGGGAGGTCTTTCCACGTGTTCGGTGTAGATCTTCTGTTTACGCAACCCGTTAATGAAGACGGCCATGACCACCTTGTCATCCCGATCAGGGACCTGGAGGGACTCGTTATTGAAATGCACCATGTACTCGCGCAAGGACTCCTCAGGCTTCTGCTGGATGGTCATTAGGTGAGCAGTGCTTTTGGAAAAGGTTCGCGACGAAACGAACTGTGCTGAGAACAGTCGTGCGAGTTGGGCGAAGGATCGGATAGACCTGGGGGAAACCCCTGGAACCATTGACGTGCCTTTCTCTCCTGGAACATTGGAAAGATCTTGCATCTGACCGCATCTGCGGCCGTTTGTAGGCGCATTTGCGTCATGAAAGCGAACAGGTGATCCTCCAGATCCGTGGTTGCATCATAAGATTTCATGTTGGGTATTTTGAACTTTGCGGGCAATGGGTAGTCCTCAATATCGGTACAAAAGGGAAAGCAATGTACCTGTCTGCCTCGGAGTCCAACAGTAGGTCCAGCTCGTCCTGCACCTGGTGCTGCTCTCGCCACGGGGAGAGCTCTCCCCTGGAGTACTTCCGGAAGGGCTCCGGATGCTCAGTTCAGGAGTGCTTGTGGGTTGGCTCCACGACCTCGATCTGTTCACGTGTGAGCTCTCAACGCATCTGCTTAGGCCGGGGGTTAGGGCTCCCTGATCGGGATTCTGTCAGCCCAACTCCTTCCACCCCTTGGGTCTTAGGCTCCTGGTCATGAGGACCCTCCGTCTGCCCTTTGAGGTAGTCCATGATCGCCTCGAAAGTAGGTAGGTTTTCCGCCACCGTTTGAACCAGCTGTTTAGGTGGGATTCGTGAGAGCCCCGTTCCCTCGTCTCCAGGAGTCGGACCCCCAGGGAAGTTATGAGGGCCGTTTCGCTCGTTCCTCTTAGATCCGTCAACATTCCTTTGAGACCTAGTCCTTGGCATGATTCGCAAGAGGAGAATTTACGTGTTTCCCACAGACAGTGCCAATTGATGCGAAAGCCAAGAACGCAGTCCGAGTTGAGCCGCTACAAACCGAGCTGGTTGGGAGCCATCGAGCTTAGAGGGGAAGGCCGAGCTGAATATCCTACGAAGAAAGAATGAAGGTGGGACTAGAGTCCCCGGAATAACTTCGACGATCAAATCAGAGAGCTTAAGAGTAGGACAACAGTAGAGAGTACTGTAGATGGCGTACCTTTTATTGTCATGTGGTACCATATTTATAGGCTTCAGGGTAGTGGTTTCCATATAGCAGTAGGAGTCTTCTTAGGGTTCGGAGTCCTTCTAGGGTTTCGTATGACAACCCCTAAAGGTTCGGAGGCAGCGGCCCACTAGGCCCACTCTAGGGAGAGGCGGCGGGCATGGCTGAGCTGACCTCCTTCTAAACCGAGCTGAGGCGTCCGAGCTGGGAAACCTCTATTGCCGACCTCGCATATGCCAGAGCCGAGCTGACACGTGTCATATGTGGATTAGCCCCACTACAGTCGCGTAATTCCTCAAGGGTCGGCAGGCCTATGACTTCCCAGTGGGGTCTTTGCAATCATCCCGATGGCCAAAGGTATCCATTGCGGTACTATGTCCTTTTTGTTTTTTCGAATCACATGGCTCTCAAAATTGGGTATTATGCTGAAGTTGAAGTTGTTGAGGTTCTTCGACTTAGGAGGCACTCTAGGAGGATTGGGAAACTTGAAGGTTTTGATGAGGACAAAAGGCATGCCTGTACCTTCCCATTCTATTTTTCCTACCCCTATTTCAGGAGCCAATGAAGTACTACCAGACTCAGCCTGCTCCTTGACATCCTATCTCACTATTGGTTCGGCCATATCTCTTGAGGCATGTGTGGTGTTATGGGCTCTATGAGTCTTGCTTCTACTTACTCTGATCTACAGATGAAGGAATGAATGAATTAGGTGCTACGTACGAGCCTTCTTTAGACAAGATATATTGAAACTGTATGTTGAAAATTTTTAACTAACCTACTACTTAGAATTGCAGAAGTGGTCCAAAAGGAACTTGAGACCCCTATTTATAGGGTTAAAACTTAAAATGAAGCAAAGAGACAGTTCGGTTAACCTATTTCGAGATTCAAAATTTAAACAAGCTCAAATTTGTGCCTCTCATTAATTATATCTCGAAACCCTCACAAGTCCCATCTAATAACCATTCCATCAAAATTTAGTCAAACATGCAACCTCCCAAGGATGATCACGTGTCTTGGCCTGATCCATTTAAAAGTGGGATCCACTATTCATCTCTAGGCTTGCTGACCTGGGAGGCTAATTATGGGACCTAATACAGTCCTCAGAAAAAGTTTGCGAATTCAAGTCCCATAATGTCTGTTATAATAGCAGTTGATAGCTCAAGAAACCTTAGCCGAAAAAATACTCTGATCATGATACGATTGATGTGACATGTTCTGCCTAATATTGACACTAGTGGGCATATCTGACATACTTATAGTTGGCCTACAGCTCATCTACGGTCATGAAAGTGGTCTAGCTTCCAAGAACCAGAGCAATTCTCTACCTATAAATACCCCCTCCCTCCAGGCATTTGAGGTAATAGATGTTTTCCTACTTGGCTAATTATTCTTTTCCCAAACCTTCTTCCCATTCTTTAATCTCTGACTGAAGCATTGGAAGTACAATGGGGATCAACCCTATTCTTTTTGCACTTTACTGTTGTTATGAGTACAAGATCCAACATGTTGACATGAAGAACCTACTTGACTAGATCAATACCAATGAACAGTTTTGGTCGGGTTAGAAGAGCCTAGCTCTATATGGACTATTTATTTTAGCAAGTTGCATAGTGTAAGGGATGGCCTTGATCGGACCAAAGGAATCTTACTTGATCTAAACCATTAATTTTTACGCAGCGCGCTTGATACTACCAACAACATCAAATGCCCTTGATTAGGCTAGAGGAGTGTTGCTTCATCTAGATCATTGATTTTTTTTTTGTGGGTTGATTGGTGTAATAGATGGTTTTCATTGGATGGAAAGAGCTTGCCTAGGGATGGCAACGGGACAAGGTTGAGGTGGGGAATCCTTTCCTCACTCCTCACCCGTTGCCAAATAACTCTTCCCAACCCTTTCCTTGTGCCCTGCCCCTACCCCTCTTGTCCCGTTTTTCTTGTGGTCCCCCAATAAGCCAACAATGGAAATATATGCACACAATGGTGAATTTTATAAGAAATCATAAAATAGAGTAAAATCATGAATATACATGAAAAAATGGACTGCTGATGCTTTAATAGTACAAACAGCAAAGAAAATAGTAGATAACAAAATATCATCAAATTCTCCATTCAAAAAAGCATCACCTAATAAGAAAGCATGCATTCTAGTCTCAAAATATATAAAAAAAGCATGCATTCTAGTCTCAAAATTGTTAACGATTCAACCGGCCAAGAAATAAGAGATAAGATACATATGATTCTACTTTAATTTATTTCAAATCAATCCAATAGATTAATGGCCATATAGCTAAATTAAAAGCAAATTTGGAGTGAGAACAGTAGTTAAAGAAACATTTGAGAATAAGAAAGACTTTAGGGTTGTTTTGTATTTTGTGTCTTAGTGAGTTAGTGTTAGTGTGAATAGATATTAGAGAAAGATAATCGGGTTATTTTATATATGTATTCATATATGTATGTAGGTAGGTAGGCATGTATATGTATGTATGTATGTACGTATGTATATATAATTTTTTTTTATAATTTAATATACGGGAGACAAGATTGGGGATGGGGCTAGGGCCAGGAGGAACGGCCCTCGCCCAATTACTCCTCTCACAGGATAGATGCCCGTGTTGCCATCCCTAAGCCCGCCTTGATTTAAACTATTGAATTTTTGCACAGTGTACTTGCTACTACCAATCATACCAAATCCCTTCCATTTGAGTAAGTGAAAATGTTACTAATTGACAAACATTTACATGTGAATGTCTCTTTTACTTTATTTTTATCAGACCTAGTAAAGCAAAAAAATGTGAAAAAAGAACAAAGATAAAAAGCAATTGTAAATCCATAACAATCTATAGGCCTAAAATGACAAAAATCGCTTGAGCCTTTGTTGAAAGTCCTTGTGTTTTACAGTCCCATGATCAAATCCAAAAAAAAGTAAAGGCTTACGTGACCTTTATTACTATTACTTTCTACAACACAAATTAGTACGATAACGAGGGAGTTAGGAATGAAAGTGAGAAAAGTACTTTTAGAAAGCCTTTCTACCAAATCTTTAGCCACTTAGATAAATCTCTTAACCCTATCTGGTAATCCTACGAGTTTAATTCTCATTACCAAACCCTTTTACTAATAGGTTCAAATTAACTATTAGGTATTCACTACTTGTTACTTAAAGTTCTCAAATCATTTACAAAACCAAATTACATGTATCTAACTAGTTCAAACAAATTTGGAAACAAACTTTTATTAATCTAAATATTTAGCACACCAAGAAAAAATATCCTATTAAAAATAAAAACATAAAGTAAAACCATGATTTATAATCCTATCACATAAAATAATCCTACCACATACAATTTAGAAAAAATTAATTCAAAAATTGGTCCAAATGGTCAAAATGAAATAAGAACAAATGTTGTCATTCTTTTTTTTAACTCCATATCATTAAATGTTACATTCTTTATATATACTAGTACTTTTGGTACACCAAAGTGTGTGTTTATTTCAAAAAATGTATAATTATTTTTTCATATTAAGTTATTACATTTCATGGTAGACATGTTTATTTTAGAAAAAATCGTTCAAAACGTCCCTCACATTTTGTAAAATAACTTTTTTTGTCCCTCACTTTTAAAAGTGTAATTTTACATCCTTTACAAATTCACATTGGTCAAATTTAGTCCCTACCTATATTTTCGACTAGTTTTTGACTGGAATTCATCACGTACCCTGCATGTGATCATTTTTTAGGGGTAAAATTGTCAAATCAAATTTTACATAATCCAATCTATAATCTCTTATATTTCACAAAATAAAGTGTTTCCTCCCTTATATTTAACAAAATGAATTTTTTCATCCCTCATTGACCGTGTATACGAATAAATTTTTTTAAAAAAATTCATATATATATCTATTTTTTTAATAGTTTTTTATTATTTCTTAGCAGAAAGGGTACACATTATTTTTAAGCGAAAAACAAGGAGTACTACTCCCTTACACGCATTAGACAAAAATATGGAAACTGCTGAGTATCCAAGGCCGAGATGCCTTTCACCCGTGGTGGCAAAATAGTTGCGTCATAAGTGGCTGATTTGCGGCTTGAGGCCGCTCCTTTCGCCAGGATGTCTGCTGCCGAGTTAACCTCCCTGTAGCAATGCTCCACAATGCAATCTGCAGAGCATAGAACTTGGCGGATTTGCCTGATGATGGTGTCGAGCTGCCAAGGCACTGCTGAAGTTTGTTGCACCATATTAAGCAATTGTTTGGAGTCCATCTGCACTATCAGTTTTGGTAACCCAGAGAGATGCACAGCCAGAGTCTCTCCAAGAGAGCCATGGCCTCCGATTCCATGTTGGTACGTGGCCCATAGAAGGTGGAGAAAGCCTGTAGGACCCAACCAGTGTGGTCACGTATAATCCCTCCTTCCCCTAAGAAGCCTGGGTTGCAAAGTGAGGATCCATCCACATTCAATTTTGCGTAAGGGAGAGGCGGCAACGACTAGGAGAGTGAAACGCATGCTCGATGCCGCAGTAGTGCTACTAGCGGTTTCAACCCCAGGTGCTGGAAAGTGGAATCCTGAGGAGCTGAATAAGGTAAGGGGTAAGCTTCTCCAATGCTATTCAGTAACGCCGCAACCTGATGGCGGACATGAGCTGGTGAAAGCACGATATCCTCAAACACTGCCTTGTTTCTAGCCTTCCACAGCTCCCAACAAATAAGCACAGGCAATAGGTTGGCAAGAGTGGCCAAGAGCATCTTCCCAGAGGAGTGCATCCACCAGCCCAGCAGCTTAAGTAGAAGCGTGTCTGAGGCACCGATGTGTAGACGGAGGCCTTGTTCAAACCAGGCCCAGACTTGGCTCGATGCGTGGCAGGTGACTAGGCAATGGGTTAGAGAGTCTTCATTGGGGTAGAAAGGACATTTGGCCTGTAGGTGGAGGCCAAACTGTCTAAGGATATCTAGAAACGGAAGCAGGTTATTAAGCAGGTGCCACATGAAGATGGAGATCTTGATCGGAATACATTGATTC